AGGTGTCCTCCTGAAATGGCTTGTTATATAGATATTTGATACACAATAATATCATAACTCACATAATTTCATATATTTGAGAAGCTCTAATCAGAAAATGCCCGGCAGTTTTGCTTGATAAACAACTAATATGATTGTTTTGATTTTAAAAATTGTTTCAGCCCCAACTGTGACATACAGACCTGCAGTCCATAGCCATGCTGGCGGCTCTATGAGTGCTTGGGCAGACACAGTAGAGAAACCATATAGAAACTGTATAGAGGATCTTTGGCTTGGGCACAGAAGTGCTTTGGGCTAAATGCTAACATCAACATGCTAACAGTACATAGCTGGCATGCTGATGTGGCAGGTATCTCCATCTTAATTTATCCCTATATATTTTTTTATGATTGACAAATTAGATAATATGGCATATCTGTTCATCTTTTACAAAGGGTTTAACCTGAGCCATGCCAGACAACAATTACAGCATCATTTCACATCCATACAGGGTCAGTAGTACACAGCTCAGAATCAGAATCACATCGAGAAGGAGAAGATGGTATCGTAACATCTCTAAAAAGTACGATTACAGCTGATGGGAATGTCATTAGCATGCAGTCCTGCAAGATAACCTTCCCTGTCTCATTTAGTATGCGTTTCTATTAATTTTAATCAAACTATGTGGAATAAATAAAGTTGTGTTGTAGACAGCAGCGAGCAAAGTCTCAAAAGTATTGTGCAAAAACCCCAAAATGTAATGAAAGGAAAGTTGCAGCAAGTGACTGTGAGTGTTTGAGTAAAGGGCTCATGGTGGAGATATGACTCCTACTTGTGTGTTCAGTCTTATGGAAGATCTTTTTTTTTTCCATTACAGTAGCTTAAACTGGAACAATGATGACTGTCTTACCACTGAGGTGCTTTTGAGCAGGCCACCCCAGTTTCAGCTTTAGCGATCCGTCATGCCTCTGCTGTGCTAAAGTGGGGTAAGAGTCCTTTTTCTTTTGTAAAGTGAGGGGGAAATGCTGAGACCAAAACACAAAGTCTCACACAGAAACGCTGTGTTCACTGAGACTGATCAAGGGAGCTCTGAGCTTGGCTTACTGCAACCGCTGGCAGCCGAGTTGCGTCAGTGCAGCTCTGGACTCAGTCAAAAGATCTTTTCAGTAAATGTTAGGCCACATTCTCCTGTAGATCAAAGACACCCCCCATTTGCTACAACAGGAACACTCTGTCCCTTTGCAACACGACAGTAGCTAACATCTGGTTTGTATGCTGAAGCGTCAGGGTGCTATAAAGCTAGGTACAATAACACAGCACACTGATCAACAGTCATTTCTCACACTTTGCAACAGCTCTGTTGATTTGAGTGACAGGGACATTATGAATGACTTCTTACAGGCAAAAGCAAACAAGATGAGAGCGAGGATACTTAAGAAATAGAGTTCAACGTCCTGGTGAGACAGATTTCAACATGAGACCTGTCTAATGTAAACAGGAGATGCAGGATAGTTTACCTAAAACAGTGCTGTGATGATGTCTCATTCCTATTCCAGCAGCGGCAGGCTGTTCGGCCGAGGCAGACGTCAGCCTCCGATCTGAGCGACTGGCCTAGTAAGCAAGCGGTGCCGAGAGCAGCTTTAAAGTTGCTTCCTCGATGAAAGCCTAAGATATCCACTTTAGAATTTAAAAGTGGTGACTCGCTGGATTAGAAGTTAAAAGGAGATGTGGAGAGACGCTTCTGCTAACAACGCCAGAGGCTGCCAGAAGCTGCAGAGCCTGCTCATCACTGTAACGTAATAAGGATGTGGACAGAGCAGACCGAAGCACGGCGACCCTGGAAACAAGGTCACTCTGAGAGGGAACAACAGCCTGACTGACGCTTTACAGGGATGAAACTAAAGTCTGAACAAAATTTAATAAGTACAGTGCTGAAAATATTATTCGATTAATTAATGGACAGAAAACCTCTTCCAAAAATTATATATCTGCTCATTAGTGTGACTTGAATATCTTTGGGTTGGGAGATGCGGAAATTTGTGTTGGGCATTTTTCAGCATTTTCTGATTCAGTTCACAGATGAAAAACTGAAAAACAATCAAAAGGTTAAGGCTTTTTAACTTGAGATATTTTAGTCATTGCTCCGCAGTTTGAGTAAAAGTAGTAAAATGTGCTTCACAACTTCACTGATGCTGAATTTCCTACATTTCGTGTCAACATAAAGAATAAATCTTAGTGTATTGTTTCTTTTGTCGGCTGCTGCTCAGAACATATAAATGACTTTGGCCCCCGGTAGCTTGTGACAGGCATCTGCGTCTGTTCATTACAATCTATAAACAAAATATTTAGTCAGATAATTGACAAAAAATATGGCCAGATTAAATTCATAATTATAATCATCACAGCTTGAGGCCCTGGATGGGAGCCTTCACAGTACTGACACAAAAGCTGTGTGAAAGTGAAAGAGCAGGGGAATGTGCACAGCAGAGGGTCTTTCCAGTGTTATTATCCCTCCCTCCACCCTCTCTGTCACTTTCCATCAGGAAAATGCTCCACCTCTCCTTCTGTTCCTCATCTCTCTTCACCTCTGTCAGGCCAGCCCCCGCCCACCCCCTCCCCCTTCCTTCCCCCCACAGCGCCGCTCCAATCCCTTTCCTGCCGACATCCAAGTGGAATTCAGCCAGCTGGTTGGGGTTATAATGGACCCCTGAGTACAGTGACACCTTAGCACCACCTTGGCTAAGCACCATTTTGATTTCAGCTAAAGACCTTCACTGTCTAACTACGCTAATTACAAAGAGCTTTAAGAGAAAAAGAATTTGGTCATTATGTCAGGTCTGTTTATCTTTAGTCCACATGATTGTGAATGTGGTCAGGATGTGACTTGTTGAGTACCTGCGGAGATTCATACAGTCCTTATTTGAAACTGCAATACATTTCATCAAAACAAGTGTCTACGCTGTTGTATAACAACACATACAGTGCTACAAACCGTAGCGTGTCAGCCAACCTCACAGCACTGCTGATGTGTGCACATCTGCTCTGCTTGTTGACACATTCAAATATAAAAGCGCACACACGATTGTAGCACTAGAAATTGCCTGTTTCTATTTCTTTTCAATTCTAAATATACAGTTTAAAGCCTCTGGGCTCCACTCTTTGCTCATTCTGTTTTCTTCTGACGCAAGTGGGATTTCACAGTCAGAGCTGATGCATACACCACATGACCTTTAGCACGTACGGAGCGGGAATCCTTTTCACAGGTTCCTCCCACAGACCACCAAAACGGTTCCCACACGCTCTTACTACATACTAAACTACATCAAAAAAAGACACTAAAGCATTTCTCTTCTTCAACAATCTGCAGCATTGTACATGCTCAGCAAGTGTACAGACACATTTCCAGACCACAACCACAGTGACTGTTGTTTGTCAGCTTCAACACAAAACAGACATGAGAACATGGCAGTCTTCCTCTTTGTCTTCTGGCGTTTTTCACCGTAATTAGTTAGCGAGGGCATTTAGCCGAGGGAAACGGGCCAGAGCAGAAGAGATTCTCACGCCTGTGGGACCAAACCAAACAAAGCCCCGCTCCGGCAACACAGCAGCCAACAGCCGCTGATAGGGGTTATCTCTGCAGTCACACATGGGCCATCTCACAACAGGGAGCATCGAGCAACTCTAATGGCCCTTACAACTCCAGAAACACATTCAGGACGGATACAGATGTTAAATGCACACTAAAAGCTGTCTCTTTAGAGTTTAAGGGGTGAATAGAAATTTCAATTCCTTTGCACTTTTTGTGTTTGGAAATCTAAATTATAATAGTAATGCAGATATTGTGCTTATGCTTTTTGCTTGTGCTCCCCAAATGAGGATGAAACTTTTTTTTGGACATACTTGTAAAAAAAAAAAAAAAGCTTGAAGCCTGGATTTACCTTGGCTGTGATTGACTGATATCTGCGGACACATCATGTAAAGCCTACGAACATCGATAAAAGGTATTTTACCCCCTTTTTAACAAGCACGTATCAATGACTAGCAACCATAATGATTTAAACCTGCAGTAACTGATTTTTTCTGGACACATATCACCTTTTAGGTGATCACAGCCAACTTGTTCGTGTACAGTTACATCCAGCAGATGTGGAGGAACATCAGCTGTCCTTTGGAGTTTTGTTTGTGTCCATCTGATGAATTCAAGTGTAATATTGATTCTCCTTGTAGCTCTATTTTACTCTTTAGCTGTTAAATGCTCTGCTGTGTTCACCGGCTAGTCATTTTCTGTCTGCTGTTTGATACTGGGCAGGTAGCGTACAGTCACATTTCAGAGATTTTTTTTTTTTTAATGAATGAAAACATCTTTTGTCTGTGTCACAGATTGTGTTGTGATGTCTAAAAATGACTAGACCTATGTTATATATACATATTAAGTTGTGTACTTACATTATCCCAAATGTTTCTAGCAAACCTGGCAGAATTAGTGATTTTAATCATGGTAAAAGTCTGTTTCATTTGGTCGCCTCTGCGCATGCATCGGCATTATGGGTGCCCGCCAGAAGTGTCAAAATCAACTTTTTATCCAGTTTTAAGCAACGTTTTTCTGATGCACATTTTAAACCGTCAGAGAGTCATGAGAGAAACCAGCCAAGCAAACGTAATGCAGTCTCAGCTCCCAGCCCCGTCCTGATACCCTGTGTCTGTTTCCACAAAGCAGCATCAGTGAACACGGATTTGTAACATGAAACAGCTCTTTTCGATGTTTCTACCACTTTTAATCCCCTAGTCCGTTTCTTATGGACAGAAGTACAGCTCTGAGAATAATTTGGCTGTCGGTAAAAACCTCCCGAATGTCTGGATCATAAGTTATCAGGGAAACAATCAAAACAAAGGTTAGCAGCTCAGATCCCCAACTGATCTCTTGTGTCTGCCGTACAATGTTGGTGAAAAACTGACTTTTAATGTGAAACTGCCTTATTCAGTGTTTATACCAGTTCACCTGCTCTATTTGTTTTAGGGAGGAGGATGCCTCTGTGGATAATTCAGCTCCCAGTAGAAACCTCCAGAACGACTGACACTGAAGGAAATCAAACTGGGAGAAGCTGTGGAGGTGAAGACAAATCCCATGATCCCACACTTCTTCATGACATCACCAAATGCCATATTTTGTTATTGTTTTGATTGAGAGACCCCTGGCAGCAGAAGTTACAAACTGTGCGTTTAAAAGCCGGGCAGAAGAAGAAATAGCTGCAGTGTGAAATCCATCAGACAGGCCACAAGTGTTGGTATATGATGGAAATGGCAGATAAGCCCATGTGTTTTGCTATGGGAGTGGGTGTAGTGAAAGGGGATCAGTCCACAGCAGTGTTTAGAGGTTCAAATGCCCCTCTGGGGAGGAGATCGGATCGATTCTCCTTGGCCAGGGGCCAATCCTCTCCCTGCCCTCAGCCAGATATTCATCCACACTATATATAACCCTCTAAGCCCTCACTCATACTGTATATACAAAAGTACCGGGTTCAGGATTTCACCACAGACTGGTGTTCTTCACCAGCAGCTGCATTAAGATGAACCCCATGCACTGTGTTTTCGAATGTCAAATACATACAGATGTGTTTAGGCTGCTCTCCACAGAGAGGGGCCCTGCTGCATCGTCTGTGGTGTGTGCGTTGCCGTCATGAGGCTCTGATTAGAGGGAACCATGGAGATAAACTATAGCCACTGTCTCATTAGTCGGAGTAACTCTGCCTGGTTCCCACCCACAGGAGCTCCTCCCAAACCCACAGGAGAGCATGGCACCCCTACACAGCCTGCAGGGACAGGACACAAACACCACAGCTGCCACAGCAGACAGAGTGCACCATCACACATCAGCAAACTCACACACATGTACAGACACAAGGACACGCACACGCACACACACACACGCACGCACACACACACACACACACACACACACACACACACACACACACACACACACACAGGGGACACAAAGCACGCTCAACTCTCTTTCCAGCTTTGCCAAAAAAGAGCCTCAGAGGACGAGATCACTGGCTCCATGACAAAATGGGGTTTCCCCACAGGGACACTCCATAAGCCTGCAACACTGCAAATGGCTGTGGGTGACCTGCTGAGCTACAAATATAACAAACATTCGATGTGAAACAGATGCATCGCAATCCACATTAAAACAAGCTGAGGCCCTTTGCGTAAGCTTCGGTGCAACAACATCACAACAGCCTGGAAGCTAGCTGGGGCTCATGGGAGCTCGGATTGATGGCTGGCGGAGGTTTGCCAATATTTGGGGACAGGAGCAGAGAGTGCAGAGAATGAGGAGAGAGGGAGGGAGGGGAAGAAGCAGGTGTCTGGGCCGCTGTCCGTCAGGCCCTGCAGTGACAGGTTTATCCCAGCCGAGAGGGAAGGTAACACACTGAACGGCACAATGAGGAGCGATAAACGTCAGGCCTAGCCCCAGCGCCATGGTAATGGCTGACAAACGGCTCAGTGGCTCATCTCGCAGCCAGTCAACCCCATACACACTCGCTGCTCTGCGTTATGTTCCATCAGAGGGGAAAACACCAACAAGCTCCTTCTACTACAAACCACCTGAGAGTCATGCAGGAATACAGCCACACTCGTATTTAGCATTTCAAACATTAAAAGAATAACATTTTCTTCATAAAGAATGAAAAGACACTGATTTAGCGAGTGCAACATATACTATATGCTGTACATAGCCAATATATGAAGTGCTGTTTCAATCTATACATTTTTCATTTGCCCTAAATGCCTTTTTCATGCCTTCAATAGCCATCACACCAGCTTTCGATTGCTTTGTGTAGCCCTTCTGTTAGATATTAATGTAACCAAATAATACTATGGATCAAATATTGAATACATGTCTGGTTTCTACATGTTGGTGTTTGAAATAAAAGCTGGTTTACAGTTTAATGTAATGTGATGTCAGAACAGCAGAGCAACATGTAATTTTGTTATTAATGTTCATATTTATTTTTATAGGGGGCAAGTACACCACTTCGACCAGAGCCACATACCACAAAATTTTACAGCCTGAGGTAGTTTGCAACGCCCATCTGTCCGCGGGGTTTTATAAAAACACACGCATGTAAAAAGAAAGCGCATATACAACTGCTTATTATAGCTGCTTTCATGACATTTTGACATTTCTTTCCATAATCAGGCAGTAACTGCAGGGACCTTTACAAATTTGAGCCGTATTCTGTTTTTGCCTGCATTCTGAATATCGCTGCCAACCAATGCAGCTCCATGCACAGTGGGGTCACCTTCTGTATATCCCATATGCATATTTTCCCCCGTACCTCATGTGATGCTCTGATGTTACATAACGCCTTCAAATAAGAGATTTGCCTCTGAATTAAAATGAGAGTTTCACTATTCACGCTTGACGTGTCAGTGACATCAGTTATGACATGTTTTTTTTTTCCTTTTTCAGTGCAGATATGGCCACCCTACAGCATCTATCACAGTCCTAATCCGTATCTTTTGATTCAACAAAGTGATGTGCAGCTGAATCACACATTAAAAATAATTCAGAAAGCTGAGATTTGTCCAGAGCTGGTTCTAACAGATGTCTATAACCTCCCCCATATCTTCACTTCAAACACTGGGACAGCAGGAAGGTGAATCCACACACAGAGACAAACACAGAGTGTGTTGAGCCTTAGTGGAGTACAGCGCAAACATCTGGCAGCAGTCATCAGAGAGAATTACAGTCGACCAAACAAAGCCTGTGTTGGGTGGATTTAATGCAAAAGTAACACATACTATGTGGTGGGGATTTCTTATGAGTTCATTTACTGTTAGTATGCTGTAACTAGAATAAAACCAAAACTTATAATTAAGAATCACTGGTACTTTGGAGACAGCGGGCAGTTTATTAAATGTCTAAAATATAACATGATTTTTCCATATTCTGTGTATTCTTTCCATTCTTGTGAAGTGAAATGACATAAATTGCGGTAATGTGGCAGAAACTAGAAGCAATTCCTCTTTCACAGTAATTGTGTAGGCTACAGTAACTAAATCACCAGCCACTATTGTGATTGCCGTTCTCACAACAGCATGACAACACATTTTAACGAATACAATGAGCTGAGAAGAGTGAGGAGTGCCGCACTGAGCTACAGCACTCATTTGCCTGATGGATGCACAGCCCCTCGAACATGTTGACCTTTGGCAAGGTCGTGGCATTCCAGCAGCTGCGTAAAGACGCCCCTGAATGAATAAATTATCGCCACACTTTTGTCACCCGGGTGCTTTGTGTCCTGTTTGTCAAAACGCCTCTCAGCTCAACCTGTGGCTCATCCACTGTACGTGAGACCCAGAGCAGACGGGACATTCAGGACTCTCATTTATTCCCCTTGGAAGTTACATAAGATTTGTGTAGCAGCCACATCAAGGCGGCCTCTGTTTTAATCAGCCCCAATGTGATAAGATGACATCATCTGCGGTGATGACTGCCAAACATGATTCATCTATTTATGTATTCAATCATTAGAACTACTGGGTAAACATCCACATTATGACCTCATAACTGCTGTGTTTACATGATGTGGTCTTTCCTTGACAAAGCTATCTGTGTCATCTGTGTACGCAGACAGGAAACTGCTATGTCTCTTACCTGTGTCTTGTCGAAACTGGTGCATGGACTGCAGGTCGATGACGTAAGGAGAGAGCTGGGCATCCACCTGCCCCAGAACAACAGTACCTCGGGCATCCCCCTTCAGCACGTTCTCAATATGGTGGCAAACCGCTGCGCTGTAGGGCCTCCAGCGCCCATGTTCGTTCAACCACTCCCAGACCACCACCCTGGCCAGGTTCTGAGGGGGGTACCCCAGTCCATTGACGGGCACCAGCAACCCTGATCCTGGACGAGCCATCTCCTTTGTGGTGTCTGCTCTTCAGCTGCTGGCTATGTCCCGGGCTAGAACACCACTGCTACCCTGTCAGTCAACTGACACACTGGAACATTTTCATCGGCCCCAGGCAGGAAAAAAAAAAAAAAAAAAAAAAAAGCTTGAATCAGCAATTAGTTTGGTAGTCCTCAATTAGCTCATGCTGCTCTCAAGCAAGCAGCTCTGCTGGAGTCATGGTCTACAGGTACTTTCTGACTGCTGGCGTTTTGATCAGTCAGTCCTCTGTCCTCTTGTGTCTTGTCCCGTTTGAAGTGGCAGATGTTGATGTTGATGATTATGAGATCTGCAGCTGTAGCAGTCTCAGTGCTCCACAGCCGACCACAGCAGATCAGCAGCAGATAGACAGGAGACGCTCTCTAAACAGAGGACGAGGAGCAGAAACACACTGGTAAACAAATGCTGTGATTTGTCCCATGAGTCTGCTCAGCAGCCAGGTACTGTTTAAAAGGAGATGACATAAAGCTAAACCAGTTCTGTGCTACTGTCCCATCAGTGGCCTCTACCTCTTGGCAATTGTGTTTACCTAAAGTGTGGCAACAACAAAATGTATATGAGCCTGTGAGCTGCCTCAGCAGCAAAATAACTGTGATTGTCATCAGATTTGTGTGGAGGGGACAGAGCAGTGTGCACTACCATACAAATGCTATCATAATCCTAGCACACACACAAAAAAATCACAGAGAGAGACATTTTCCACAGAGAAAGCTGCTCAGAATCCGAGAATGCAAAGGGAGGAACATTGTTTCTGTTGTCTGTGTGTTTTATGAATGTGTCCAATCTTACGGCTCGTGTTGAATGTTTTTGTGTCATGCTTGAATTGGATCTGGCGATACAGACCTGTAGGTTGCAGTTGTGGTGCCACACATCTGTCAGGTAGAAGCTGCATTTCCAAGGCTCCGGCCGAATTGAAAAAGAAAAAAGAAAAAAACGAGGTGAAACGCACCTGCCTTTTCACATCTGTGACTTGTTCGCTTCCCTGTCCCCTAAAACCTGAAATCTCCCTTCAAACCCACCTCCTGCGGCTCCAGTAATCCTGTGTTATTGCAGAGAACCAAGCCGTCGTTTTATTCCCGTGAATCTGCTACAGACTACACCAGCTTGTTGGTCCGCTGTGCTCAAGTGAACGCGTGCCATTCCGCTGTAGACGCGCGTTCCTCTCTGCAGTGCCAAACATCACGCATTCACATAGTAAACACGCAATTCTCGCTGGCCGCAAATTACGCACTAATGTCCAGGCGCACCTGTGTGGACAACCGCTGAAAATCATCCAAAGTGTCAATTACAACGAAATTAAAGTATACAACTTCCGGCTTGTGGTTTCAAAATAAAACCCGTGTTGACACCGTAGGATCGACACATGATTACACTGCTGGGTGATGATGATGAGGTGTAATTGCACAGACAGTGACAAGAGAGAGAGAGAGAGAGAGAGAGAGAGAGAGAGAGAGAGAGAGAGAAACCTCTTCCAAAACATTCTATTCAGACATTTGGGATACATTTTTAGTATCTTGCAAAAGCATTCAGGGAGACATGTGACATCCTTGTGACACTTTGCCCCTGCAAGTTAGCTAGAGAGGGACAATGGTTACACTTCATAATATCCAAGAGCCCAGGGACAGTTATGCCGCATGCACATCACATGCCTCTTAGACCTTAGATCCCTCTAAAACTTTTCATCAAATCCATAAAACAAGAGTTAGACAAGAATCTCAATCGATTCAAAGTCCAAAAGTTTAATCCTTGTAGTCATAAAATTGCCTATGATAAATGTTTTGTATAGAGATGAGTTTATTAGATTTTTTGGTCTTTAGCACCTTTTCAGTGTAGGGACACTTTTCTCTGATTCTGACTACTTGCAGATGCTTTTAAAGTAAACAGAGAGGTCAAATGTCTGAATCAAGATGATTTAATGGATGTTCCATAAGGATGCTTGTGATTACAAAATCTGTGGTAATTTCACACCTTAAACTGATGCCAAGGTTTGCCTGTACTCTGTGTTTACTACAGTTGAATTATGTTAATTTTCAGTCCTGCTAAGTAGAACAACAGTGCCATCTGCTGCTAAAATAATGTACCTGCACTGATAGGAATAAGGACATTTTGGAAATCCTCAGAAAAAAGAAACACTGCTCAGATAATAGCTCTGCCTCCCTGGCCCTTCGGGCTGGATATGTAAAGTATTTTATGTAATAAAGGTCACTTCCTCCCAGAAATGTCAACTTCCTGCTCTGGTGACACAGGTTCTTTCAGCTATCTGTTCACACCACCTGGGATGGAGTAGCTTATCTCAAAACTCAGGTTGGTTTTTAATAACTCAAGCATGATTGAATGTAATTAGTCATTTATGTAATGTCAAACTGCAATAATAATGTTTTATTGTCAGATTTGGATCTCCTCATTATCCTTTTCATTATGTCGAAAATGTGTTGCATAAAATACATACAATAACTGCATAAATTGCATTTTTACAAAGTGTCATCCAATCCACATTTTCTCTATGTGTATTGAAAACACAAAAAACTACCTGTTGTGCATGAATCCAGTCAATGAAGACATTGCCATTGCTAAAAAAAATATTACTCTGTTTTTCTCTCTAAAAACAGCTTATTGTTTATATATGAAATGTATAACACTATTAATAATGTTGTAGTGAAGGAGTTTTTTGCTATTTGGAGGAAAAAACTCTCACCCCCCCCACGGGGTGTGTGTAGTGTTCAAAATACTCAAAAGACCAGTAAATGTCCACACCAAAGAATTTAGTTAAATTTGTTTAGTAAATCTTTTCAGCAAGCAATGAACAAATACAGAATTCTGGATCAGATGTGTATTTCCCTAACCAATAACAAGTGTTGGTCAGTCCACAGTCTGATAACCTAACTTTCCCTGATCCAGTGTATTTATACAGATACAAACAAAGAAATGTGCATGGGCGTTTTGTCGTCTTCTGATTGGCTCTGCTGGCTTCCTCCTTCCCATCTGACTCCGACCCTAAGTGAAACCTAAAACTCAGCGCGCCAAAAAGAAGACAGTTAGTGTTTACACATAAATTACCACTTCTCTACCTCTGTTACCTCCGGCTGCCCCCTACACATGCCCATAGAGTGGTCCTTATCAGTGGTTGTAAATAGTTTCCTTGAGGCAGATGTTTAAACCACAACTCACCCTTAGCACCTAAATATCCACTAGTGTAAATCATTAAACAGTTTTAGGTTTAATAGCCTGAAATACTCCAACAGTAGTGAGGGAGGCAAACCTGTCTGCAAATATGATCCTCTGTCCCAGTCCAAATTCACTGACCAGGGGATTTATACATCAATGTGGAGTGCTTTAATTCTGATCTCAGTGCAGTCTGAATGATTTGGGATGTGGAGGATCAGAACTGTAGAGAATATGTCTTTTTTTAGGAAATCAAACGGGGAACATTTAAAGAAAATGCAAAAAAAACATTCATCTGCTTAAAGCCCCACTGGTGGCATCAATTATGTGGAGAACACCTCCATCATGTGGCCTTTTGGTGTTCCTACAAGAAAGTCATCTCCGTAACCATAAGTTAGTTTTCAGCTTCACAGTTTTCCAGAGCTACAAGACAGTTATTGCACAGCGCAGGGACTTGGACTGAAGATATATCTTTATCATAAAAACCCTGCCTATAGCATCAAGAAGTGAAGCAAAGTTACCTCTGGAAACGTATTTATAACTGGCCCAACTAAAGAACAGAAGGGTGTTTCAAAGAACCGATATGTTGAACCACCATGAAGCTGCAGAACCGGATGTTGACCAGGTGTTTGGTAGTGCTCTTGGCATTCTTGTCTCGAGCTGTGTAAGCCTCAGTCCACCTGGTGAAGTTATCCATGGCCACACAAAGATGTTATAGTCAGTTTTAGTCAATCCTGCCCTTACCTGACACTGCTGTAGGGGAGCTGCTGCTGATGTAAGGTCAATCCCTTCT